ACATAGTGAGTTCCAGGACAGCTGGGGCTACAGGGAGACCCTGTCTCAACCTAATTAAAAATAAAAAAAGAAAATTGTAAACCAGAAGATGGAAAGACCTCCTGTGTATGTTTCTATGATCTCTTTCTCTGAATGCATGTTATTTGTATATAAAAGGCTAGTGATTTTAGTAATCTATTTTGTATCCTGCCACACACATAAAAAGAAACAAGTTGATAACAGCTTATTGCTGAAGGTATCACATACTTTGAATGCAAGAAATAGAGAAGTCAAACAGAAGGCTCCCACCCTGCTGGCTAGCTTTCAATAGTGTTCTATCACTGATGGGGAAGTAAAAGCATCAATGATCCTAACCCAGCTGTCAACTCTGTTGTCTACCTTACATCCTGCCAAACCAAATGTGCCCATTTAGAGCAACAGTGGTGCGGCTACTTCAATGGAAGTATTCTCCATGGGCTCCAAATATTTAAACACTTGACCCCCAGTTCATGGTACTGTTTGGGAAGGGTCACGGACCCTTTAGATGGTATGTCCATGATGGAGAAAGCACATCACTGAAGGTAAGTTTTGAGAGTTCAAAGCTATGTACCACTTCCAGTTTCTCTCTCTGCTTCCTGCCTGCTTGAAGCACTGAGCTTTCTGTGTCAGCCACCTCTCCCACCATGCCTTCCCACCATGATGAACTCAACCATCTGGAACCGTAAGCCAAATAAACTCTTCCTTCTATAAGTTGCACTTACAAATATGCCCACAATACACTAACACATAAACTAAAAATAATAAATAAAATATATTTTAAAAGTCTAGAAACAACCAATAAAATGAAAGAATATATTTGCATGTCATGTACCTAATAAAGATCTAGTATCAATAATATATAAAAAATTCTGACAAGTCAGAAACAAAATATCCCCACAATTTAAACAATTTAAAAAATGGTAACAGTCTTTTAAAAAAGTTAAATGATCAGTAAACAATGAAAAAATGCTCGAAATGTCACTCATCAAAAGAAATGCAAAGAAAGGCACCACACAATCACTATACTGCATACCATCTTTTTTCTCTGGTGGATTCAAATTTAATTAAAACGTTCTAAGGACTCGTGTATTCATTAAAATGATCAGGAAACAAAGGTTCATAAGGCCTCTGGATACTAAAGATGTATCCATGACCAAAAAAAAAAAAAACTACCCTGTATCTAATAAATGTGTCTCAAGCAGGGCTGATAAAAATTGTCAGTATTTTTCTAGAGAAAAGAAAAAGAAAAGTAGTATGGAAAATAAGGGGAAATTTCTTGTTCTTGCCTTTGAGGTTTCATGCCTATTTTTTCTGTTAAAATTAAATTTTAAATGTCCAAAAAATGAGAGGAAAGTGAAAGAGAAGAGGACATCCTATAAAATACATGGATGTTTATTCCTGAGATTATTGATATACAGATCAATATCCAGCCCAGTTCTTTGTTTTCCAAAACTAATGTGCCTCCACCCTACATTATTCATAACAGCATATTAAAATGAATCCCCTTCTGTTCTACAATGCCAAGCCATCTTATAAGTAAATGCTTCTACAAACTGAATCACTGCAACTACATATGGTGGATCCTAACACTAACTTTCATTCTACAGTAAATTACCACAGCAAACTTTTCATTAAGGGCATAAGTCAGTAGGATTTTATTTGGAGGGTTATTAGCATTAAGTCCAATAGAGAGCAGGAAATACACTCAGATTCATAACATTCACATTCTCAAAACCCTACCAATAATTCATATTTCATTAAAATTTATTATGTTCTCAATTTGTTTTTCTTTAAAGAATTTCAAATATTTACCTGAAAATGTGAAGAATAATTCATTTTGCAAACCAGCTCTTTGCATTTTAATACGATGGCATTCAGACTTAAGTAAGGAAACTTCACATGAAAGGTCAAGAACCAGTTTACTTAAAATCTGAAGAAGTTTCCTCTCAAAAGAAATATTATAGATACTATTGCAGGGAGCGGCATGATACCGAGCTGTGAACTGGTAATAAAAATGAGGATCACGATAAGCTACAAAAATTAAACAGAGAAAAGACAAAAGCATGATCATTTAAGCAATTCAAACATACAACTATTTTAAAGAGATGATTAGTTGGAATAATTCATATGCATATGTCATGGTTATTTGTAATAAATTTATGTTCATATTTCATGTTCTTAAAATAGCTATATTCACCTTTACTAACACCTACCTAGCAGTCACTAAGTATGAAATATTATCTCAGGTACTTTATTTTTAAATGTTTTATTTATGATGTTTTATTTTATGTGTATGAGTGTATTATCTGCATGTGTGTAAGTGCATTTGTGTTGTAAAATGCCTACCAAGGTCAGAAGAGGGTGTTAGATCCCCTGGAACTGGTGTTGGGAATGGTTGTTAACTGCTATGTGAGCTGGGAATCGAACTTGTGTCCTCTGTAAGAGCAGCCGGGGCTCTTAACTACTGAGCCATTTCTCCAGTCCCTCATCAAAGGTACTTAAAAATATTTCAGCATTTTAAAACTGGAAATATTATGCCAGGCATAGTGGTACATGCCTTTAATCCCAGCACAGAGGCAGAGACAGGTCTGTCTCTATGAGATCAAGGCCAGGCTGGTCTTCATAGCAAATTCCAGGCCAGCTGGGGCTACAGGAAGACCCATCCCCCACCACACACACATTATTATTATATCAGGCTTGAAGAAATTGAGACACAGGAATCATGTCAAATGTTCAATGCCTATGCTATCAAAGCTAAGAGTCAAACCTAATATTTTTTTTAAAGGGGGGAGGGCTGGAGAGATGGCTCAGCAGTAAGAACACTGAATGTTCTTGCAGAAGACCCGGGTTCAAATCCCAGCACCCACATGGGAGCTGAAAACTGTCCATAACTCCAGTTCCAGGGGATCTGACAGCATCTTCTGTCCTCTGCAGGCATTGTATGGCACGGGTGCACTTACTTATATTCAGGCAATACACACATACACATAAAAATAATAAATAAAATATTTTTTAAAAGAGTCAAACCTAAGGAAAATGGTCTCGCTACACTTGTGGTTCAAACTTGGGCATCACACTGACTGGTCACAATTTAAATATAAAATTTTAGAAAAATTGTACTGCTCTATATTCAAATATTAAATCTTAGAAGAAACTGCAGTAATGTTATTACCAAAAATGGTTTCCAAAGTATGTTTTTAATAAATTGGTAATTCGTTTTACTGAATTATAATATTTTACAGATCTCAAAATCTCACTGGAAAGGGACAAGAAACGTAAAAATGAAAATAAATTCATAACAATACCAAAATCAAAATGTCATCTTATGAGACAAGGAGTGCAGTGCCACTTCCGTCAGCCATGGCACCCTCCCACCTGCCCCTGGCTTACATTCTAAGGAAGAACTCCCCACTCACACTGAAGGGAATATTTTCACTACCTATTTTCATACATGTACATTAAGATTAAAATTAAGTACTTTTGATACTGTCAAACTTTGTATTTATGGTAGGGAAGAGACAGCTTCTAATCACTAAGGAAAATTCCATCAGTATCATCTGTGAATAGGAATGAAAAAACCAAAGGTTCTCCTTTGAGATGCAGCTACTATGAAAATCAGTATGAAAGATTCTAAAAAATTAAAAATAGAACTATCATAATCAAGCTTTTCTCCATCATATCCATACCTACTGTTATAGTATTCATAGTGGGTAAGAAATGGAACCAGGCTCTATATCCATCAAAAGATAAACAGATAAAGGAAATATGGTACACAATGGAATTTTATTTAGTCACAAAGAAAAATACAACCATGGAATTTATAGAAAAATAGATGAATCTGTAAGTTATTATATTAAATGAGGTTACCCAAACTCAAAGGCAAATGCATTCTCTGTCTTACATGAGGAGCCTAGATAGATAGATAGATAGATTAGATGGATAGATAGATAGATAGATAGATAGATAAATAGATAGATAGATATTATATATAGATATATATTTATATATGTCAATAGTTATAGGTCATGAAACTAGAAAGGTGACCATGAATGGGGAAGAAAGAGGTCTTTAGGGAGAAAGGAAGGAAAAGAAAGAGTATGGTGGTTAGTTCTGCCAACTTGACCAATACTCAAGACACCAGGGAAGAGGGAACTTCAATTGAGAAGTTTCCTCCCTCAAACTGCTCTTTTATTAATTGATGATTGATGGAAGAGAGCCCTAGGCAAGTGGTACTAGCCCACTGTTAGTGGTACTAGCCCTACGCAAGTAGGACTGGGTATCTGAGCAGGCCAGGGTAAGCCAGCCAGTAGGCAGCATTCCTCCATTGGCTCTGCTTCAGTTCCTGCTGCAGCTTCCCTTGATGACAGACTATAGCCTGTAAGCCACATCAAGCCCTTCCTTCCCCAATGCTTTGAGTCAGCAAAAAAAAAAAGCAAACCAGAACAGAGGGTATAAAATACATGTGACACGAAGGTAGGGGATGGAAAGTAGAGAAGGAATAGGGGAGGGTGAGCAACACAAACAAAGCATGTATGAAAAATGCAAACACAGCTCACTACTGTCTATGCTAATTGAAAAAGGAGAAAGAGAATAAATAAATAACTTTATATAATAGTGATATGAGAATCTGGCCAGTTTCAGTCAAATAGACTATGAAATTAAAAAATATACATTTAGTAGCTTTTTTGTTTAATAAAAAACTGTATTATGCCAGGCATAGTGCACACCTTTAATCCCAGCACTCAGGAGGCGGATACAGGATGATCTCTGTGAGATCGAGGCCAGTCTGGTCTACGTAGGGAGCTCCAGGTCAGCTGAGGCTACAGGGAGACTTTGTCTTAAAAAATAATAATAACTGCATTACTATACAAAGCACTATACACACCTACATATCAAGAGATTTAGAGAGTTGGATACTCCCAAGGCAGGGACCATCTCCAACACAGGCAGGACATAAGCATTTCGCATTCTAGCCCTAGTTACTGATTATACTACATAAATAGGTACTCTGTTGATGCTTAATAATTGAACATAAAAGGCAACATTGCCTGGTACATACTAAGTACTCAGTGATATTTACTATGATTATCATTTTTATAAACCAGTACTCTTTAGGCACTTACAGCTTTGTAACTTATGTGAATATGCTTTGAAAATGAATGTTGAAGTCTGTGATCAGCTGTTATATAACAATATGAGATAACTACCATGTAACAAAAATTGAAACTTAACTACTTGAAAGATCTAAAAAAATTACATGCCTAATAAAATTAATGTAATTTATCATAAATATATCTCCTTCTTAGATATATAGAACAGAATTCTTTGAGTAAGCAAGAAAATTGTCAGGAAACCATTAAAAATCGAACATTTGTTCAGCATCTTGACTGTAAAAACAATGTCATTTATGTTTCATTATTACTTTAGAGATGTAACACATTTCAATACTGGATACTATAAATACAAAAGTGTTCCTAGGATAAAATCAAGATATATCCTTTCTTTGATCTTTTTATTTCCCTTTTATAACAACCCTTGTGGCTTGGGGGCACACATCTACAATTCTAGTACTTGAGATGCTGAGGAAAAAGAATTACTGTGACTCAGGACCCATGTGGGCCAGGGTGAAACCCTGTCTCATAGCAAGGCCTTCGTGAATAAACTAGGTCAACCTACTTAATTCAGGATGGTGATGCCTAATCTTTATCATCAACGTCACCAAATTTTTAATAACAGGAGACACACCCCTGGGGTGCCTATGAGAATGTTTCCAGGAAGGTTTAATGGAGGAAGAAAGACCTACCCTGAATGTGGGTGGCATCATCTCATGGACTGGGATCCCTGACTGGACACACACAAAAAAAAAAAAGAGAAAGAGAAAGAGAAAGAGAGAGAGAAAGGAGAAAGAATTTTAAAAAGAGAAGAATGGGCACAAGAACTCATCCCTTATCTTCCTGAATTATGTTCGCAGCACCATCCCCTCCTGCCATAATGGATTGCACCCCTTCTTAAACTACTAGCCAGAGAATCCTCTGCCTTTAAGTTGCTTCTCAGGTGTTTCTCCAGCAACAAGAAAAGTAACTAAAACAAAGGTGCTTAGTCACAATGGCTAAGTCTCTTTCACCATGTGGGGTGTATATTCACAGGCTCTGAAGAAAGGATGAAGACCTCTTTGTCTGCCATTTTTCTCCTACACCCGGGTCTCACTGTGTTCATTCAACTTGTAACTGTGCTTTAGATTACCCTTTTTGTTATGTCATATCAAATCAACCTTCTCAATTTTATTCAATAGAATAAACTACATCAAAACACATTTACAGAGGTACTTCCTGATCCTGATGTAGACAATGCATATGAACCAGCTACCATGACACTCAGAATTTAAAAGCAGTTCAAACTATGTCTCGTTATCATCATGGTAATTTGAAAACATGATTTTTTACACTGCTGGTTGAATTCATGGACTTAGAAGTCAGCATATCCCTGAAGAAAGCAGCTATGCCTTGTTAACTATTCTGTCTCCTTACTGTTCATATAGACAGCATAATATATGTGGATGGTCTTTCTAAAATTGGAATACTAAAAACAACAAAATTCTTTTTGTAAAAATTCTTTCAAAATATTTAAATTTAAAACTCTAAGTCTTTTAAAAACAATCCTATTATAATGTTTAAATATTGTAGCAACATTAAGAAATGTTAAAACACAATTCTATTCACTTCTTACCATAAACAATGTATTTCAGTTGAAGATTTTTAACAACTTCTTCCACCGTAGGTCTGTACTCCAGGAAACATGTATAGACTCCACTCATGCTCTCCTCAAAGTTCTGAAATATGAGGCTTCCTGTGGATGTCACTTGTGCAGTGCTGTTTTCTAATAAGGCCATAACATACAGCTTAAATCACAATACAGACACAAAATACCAAAACATTTTAAGCAATCTAAAGCCATCCAAATTTGTGTACACTGTCACTGAAAGGAGTTGGCAGAGCTAATCATTGCATTTGGTGCCTGTATAAGTACAGCAAGGATGACCTCCTTAGAGTGACATTTCACCAAAGACAGTTCTTCATTGTGGGACTGCCTAACTGGTAAGAGACTAAGAATGACATGTATACACAAGTGTTCCTTGCATTGTAAGAGATGCTATCTGAAATACAGTACATATACACATATATAAATATACTTGTGCAATGTGTATATATACACATCATATATAATATGTGTATACAAATTATATATTTTCTATAGTACATATATTTACATATTATATAAAAACATTTATATATTTAATGAATTATAACTTCAGTAAGCTTATAATCTGCCATGAAATAGACCAAACAGTATACCTAGAACAAAGGCTACTACAGTAGAATCATCAACAGTGAAAACTTCTTGTTACTATACAGAATGGGTTGTAAAATAAAAGTTGGTTTCTAACACTGGGAGTTACAAAAAGATAAAAACACATTAGAAAGTGAGATCATCAGGCTTGCTCAAGGTCAACCAACCACAGAGTTGAGGTGTTGGGAGTTAAAATGGAAAGTAAGATCCCAACATGCTTTTGTAACTATCACGCTGGAAGAAAATTATGCTGTCGAATGGAAAGTAAATCTGTCACTGAGACATTAAGATATGGGTTTGAGGGCTCTATCCTCTCTCACAAAGTGAGACTTCATCTTCTGAAGTCCAGTTCATTTATTTGTGCAATGAAGAATGAAAACAGGTGATTCCCTAACTCACACGGCTGCTCAGTAAAGCAAATATAACAAATCATTAAGCAGACAGATTAACATTCTAAAAGTTCATAGCTAAGGTTTTGTATCACTAAAATTTTAAATACTAAATTTTGTACTTAATAATTTAATACTCTATTCATTAGAATTGAAATCATTATTTCAGGAAATGACTATACATTTTTCTATTTTTAAGTACATGATTTAATACTTATACATTTTAAAAGATAGTTCCTCAGACTAAGGCAAAAGACCAGAGTGTTCTTAGCACTGACATTTTCATTATTAATTTGTTTTAAAAATATTTATTGAGCTTCTAGTACACACAAAGGCCTGCTTCATCTATTGAAGGAGAAATGAATAGACAGATATACCCACTCCAAGGAATTTACATAGAGAATTATGCCTTGGGCTCTCTCATTTCTATATCCTGGATGAAGCTGAAAAATGTGATATAAATTTAGAATGCATTGTAATGCTTATTTCTTCACAAATATCTTCTGATAAAAGATTACATATTTATCTTAAGATGTTATTTTCTAAAAAGTAATAATTGGTAACTGGTTACTATACATTTCAGAAAAAAAGCACTTTATAGTATCACAATTTTAAAATTTAATGAAATTTGAGAATTATCCTGTCATCAATGAAGCTATATATACCTTGATAATAACTTTCAATGAAATTTTCCTACACCAACAGTATCAAAAAATGTATCATACACATATACATGTACTATATTTGGCACAGATAATATCATATAGTATAAGAACACATATAACAAAAGATATTCACGAGTCACCCAGTGAGGTTCATTACCCTGCAGCCTGACTAGCTCCATTCTTCTTCCTCCCACTGTTTCCAATTCCAGCCTTGGACTTAAGCCCATACCTGCTCTTTTTGCCTCAGATCTCTGGACTAGCCTCTTAACTCAGACCCTGTGCACTGCATCCTGATCCCCTGAACCCAGACCCATTCTTCAACTTCAGGGCCCACACCTACTTCTGCCTAGTTAGTAAGACCCTCCCCAGGCTGTCCCCATTCCCTGTCTTGCCTGTAGGACCCTCCTGATCTGCCTGCCAGACCTGCATACTACCCTAGTAAATCAAACACCTCCTACTGTGGCTTTACTCCCCTGAACCCTGACCAGCTCCATTCTCTCTGGCCCCTTTCCAGCCTTGGCCAACTCCTATACTTCCTGCCTCAGATCTCTGTACTAGCCTCCTAATCCAGACTCTGACCACTGAAGCTTTATTCCCCTGCACCCTGAACAGCTCCATTCTCTTGAAACAAAATGCTGTCTTCCTTTCTCCCTTTCAGCCTAGGGCCCAGGCCCTCAATTACACTTCCTGACTGAGAACTCTAGACTAGCCTCCTAATCCAGATCCTGCCTAGTGCATCCTGATCCTGTGCACCCAGACTAGCTGCATTCTCTGGCTTCAGGGACCACACCTATTCAGCCTAGCTAGTTAGACCCTCCCCTCACTGACTCCACCAAAGCATTAGCTCTAGGAACCCATCCTGATCTTCCTGCCTGAGACCTCCTCACTAGCCTGCCAGAACTGAGCCACTGGACCCCCATAGCCTTAAACTCCCTTCACCTCACTAGAGAGAACTGTGCCAATCCTATCCCACCAATAAAAATCAAAAGTAAGAACCTGAAGCAAAAGCCAAATGGGTATTCCCCCCTTAGCAAAAAGCAACCAAGTTACAGCAACAATATAAACAGAACCAAACTTCAACTAAACAAATGCAGACTAGAATTTCGTATCAGACACACAACCAACAAAAGAAATCCATATGCCCAAATGACAACTCAGGAAACACAAATAGTATGAAACACCAAGAGAATATGTTCCTCCCCCACCCCCCCCAAAAAATAAAACATCAGTCCTACAGAAGTATACTACAATGAGAACTACCCAGGGGAAACCCAGGACATAGAATTTAAAAGAACAATCATAAACATGATCAAAGAAGTTAAAGAACACACAAACAACTCAAAGAATTCAAAGAAGCTAGGAAGAAATTCCTGACTGAAGCTAAAGAAAATACAAATACATGTTTGAATGAAATGACAAAAACAATTCAGGACAAGAAAAGTGAATTTACAAAACATAAGCCGAAATGAAGATAGAATTGAAAAATCCAGCAAGCCAACTTGAAATGGCAGGAGAAAGCCTCACAAGCAGAATGAATGAAATGGAAAACAGAATAGATGACAAAGTTGAAGAACTGGACTGCTCAAACAAAGAATATGATAAAGCTTAGAAAAACAATAGAATGGAATATGCAAGAAATGTGGGACACCATGAAAAGATCAAATCTACCACATCATAGACATAGAGAAAGGATAAGAATCTCAGGTCAATGGCATCAACCAGATCTTCAACAGGGTTACAGATGAAAACTTCCCCAAATTAAGGAAAGATATACCAATACAGGTACATGAAGCAAATAGAAAACAAACTAGACAGGACCAGAACAGAAGCTCCTCATGGCGCACCACAGTAAAAAACACTAAATGTACATAACAAAGAGAGGGTACTGAAAACTGCTAGAAAAAAACAATAAGTTACATATAATGGGAAACCCATCAGAATTAAAACTATCTTTTCAGTGCAAACTATGAAAGCCAGAAGAGCCTGGACCAAAGTATTCTTGGTACAAAATGACCATGGATGCCAATCCAGAATACTTTACCCAGCAAAACTGTCTATTATAAATGAAAGAGAAAGAAACATTTTCCATTTTCCATGACATGAATAGAATGAAAGAATTCATGTCCACCAAACCAAACCTACAGACTACTCGAAGCAATTAAAAGGACTGAAGGCAGGAGTGACTATACCTAAGAGGTTACAGGAAGAAAACAAATGAAGGTATAATTACAGAAACACAAAATAGGACCAAGAACAAAAACAAATTAAAATGACAGTAACTAATACATATATTTCAATAGTAACTCTAAATGTCAATGGCCTCCTCTTGCCAGTTAAAAGACAAAGCCTAGTGAAATGGATTAAGAAACAAAATCCATCTATTTGCTGTCTATGGGATAACCAACAACTATCTAATTGTACTTAAATGTTCCCTCTCAATGGGAGGGAACTCATGTGTAGCACTGTAAACACAGTCATATACACATGGCTGGAGAGGTCATAGATCTTACAGAAAACCCTAAGTCTTTCACATCCCTAGATAAACATAATTTCTTACTATATGCTAAATATAGATTATTTTATTTACAGACAAGTACACCAACCATCATTCAACAAAGAAGCTTCTTTTACAACAGATAGAGGCTAGTACAGAGTTTGTGTTTACCACAGCTGGTAACACAAGGAGAATCAGTGTCTGTGAGGTACCCAACCCTAAATGACACATCTACAATGAAACCTCTACACTTAAGGCTCACTGAATAAGTAGAACAGTAGAACAAGGGCTAGAGAAAATGCTAATGCATCTCTCAACTCTCAACAACAAAGCTTCCTCATAGAACAGAGGGTGATGAACCCAAAGGACATAAATGGACAATTGTAGAAAATAAGAATCTGCAGAACATGATCACAGTACAGGATTCTTATATTAAACTCCACCCACCCAGGGTTCAGAAACCATTGTGGAAGATGGGGTAGAAAGATTTTTAAGAGCCAGGGGATAAGGTACACGACCAGAAGAAAACAGAGACTTACAGGCTCCTAGGAATTTGCTCATACAATTTTATAGCAATGATACCAGCATCCATAAGACCCATGCAAATTCAATCACACTAAAACCCAGCAAAAAAACTGGGGAAATGGACAGCAGGCCCCAACCTTAGTTGAAGAACTATTGACAGCTAATTACTGCTGGGTGGAAAGAGTTGATATTCTTTAAGGGTGAGATTCTAGATAGGCAGACTAGACCCCAGTGAATGAACTTGCACTGAAGGACATTTGGTTACACAAACATGACTCGATAGACCTTAACATATATGATAGAATGCATGAAAACTGGGGCGGGGGAGGGCTATTGAGGGGTACAGATGGAGGATGAAGTACAAAGATGATTAAGATTTTTTGCATGAAATCCACAAAAATTCAATAAAATTATACATTTAAAAAAGAAATGGATTAATTTCCAAATTCATGGGCC